AGAAGCAGGAGCACCTCTAGCAGCATAAGAGGTAGACCCCACCTGGGGTGAGGTGGGGTGCAGCACAGAGGCTTCCCAGAGAAGTCCAACTGAGTCTCAAAAGATGATCAAGGGTTTGCAAAAGACAAAGGTAGGAGAGGGGTGACAGATAGCTCACATAATAAGGATCTGCACTCTTTAAATTGAGAAACCCCTTGGAGGGCCATGAGCTTAGAGCTGGGTACTGGGGACATTCAGGGGAGCCAGGTGACCTGTTTCAGATGTAGCAGAAGGGAGTATCTTCCTAGGGAGTTGAGAGCTCACCATTAAGGACTTTTTCCACATAGAGCATCTCTAATTTTGTCAAATCAAAGGCAGGCCTGCACCAGAGAAGAACAGTGGGCTCCCTAGGCCCCAGTGGGCCAGGCCTTCTCTCCCAACAACACTATTTCCACTGTCTTACTTACCCTGAGTGATGAGGCCCCCACCAGCTACATGGCACCAACCAGCACCAGCCCCGTGACCATCCACCCCCCCACATCCTACTTTTCCTGACCCAAGTCCTATTGACAGATCTCCCAGAATCTGAAGGAATTCAAGACAAATGGTTAAGAGGATGGAGTTAATAAAATTTGAAAAATTGAGGCCTGTCACTCCACTAAACTTTTTTCAATACCACTGACAGAAACATATTTCCCCAATGAGTGACCTTCCACAGCTGTAGCAGGCAGGCGCAGCCGCAGCAGTGCTGCCAGAAAGCCAGTCTGCTATTTATCAGATATTATAAGCTGGGACTCACTAATCTGGAGCAGGAGAGGAGGGGAGGGTCCTGCACCACACTGCCTGGGGTGCTCCAGGTGTTTGCCCCAGCCTCAGACAGCCAGTGGGAGGTGACGGATGGCCTGCGATTAGCACTCCCCACCTCCGTCCAGCCCTCTCACTTGCTCCCAGAGGCCTGGCCCTCTAGACCAGCTGCTTGGCCCGAAGGGGCCCTGGGTGGGAGGCAACGGGAGGTCAGGCCAGGGCACGGGCCATCCTGATGCCCCCGGAGAGGGCAAGCGGGTGAGACCCAACATGGTTATTTATTGTAATGTAATGGTTTGTGGCCGGTGGTCGTGGGGGTGAAATCGATCAGTGGTAGAAGTCAGGTTCTATCAATTATTACAGCAATTAGTCAAGTCAGCAAGGGCGTGGGGATGGGGGAGTAATATTAGGTGGACATTATCCATGGTGCCCCTGCTGCAGCCTTCCTAAAGTGGGGAAGACCTGCTGCCCTCAGGCTCCAGAACCTTGGGGAGCCTGGCTGGCATCCCCCAATGAGTGGCCTGACCTGAGAGCCTCCTGGGCAAGGGACAGTCCCAACACTGCTTTAAAAGGAGCCCCTGTGCTGGCTGGCCCAGGTGCAGAGATGTCCTACCTGTCCCCTTCCCATCCTTTATGAGAAGTGACACGACTCCTACTAGAAATTACTCAGTGGCCAATGTTTATGGCACACATTTTTCATTCTGTAAGCAAATATAGATCACTGACAGCACTTGTTTGGAGCAGCTAATCTCACCCTCTGTTCTTTCTCTCACTGTTGTCTTCTCTCACCTTCTCTCCTCTCTCCCTCCCCTTCCCTCTCCCATTTCTTCCTCTCCTTTTTTTCCCCTGTCTTCCTGCATGTTTTTCTTCCCTTCTCTATTTTCTTTCTCCCTTCTCTAATTTCTTTTTCTTCTAGAGGTCTCTCCCTGATCCCCCTCCACATAGCCCATATCTAGTTGACAGAGCTTTTCTTGAGGCTGCCAAAGAAAGAAGAGGCCTTTTCATCACTTAATTGGGGCTCCCTCTGCCCCACCTGTGCTGCAGGAGCTTTGTGGGGAGGGGAAGATGCTGCCTCACACTAGCCCTCTTCCCTTGGTGCCCAAGGTATAGAGATGGACTGGGAAAGCCATGCCAGGCAAGCAAGTCCCTGAGCACTGTGTTCCTCCCTGAGCCCTGACGGTGCTGTCTGTCCCTGTCTGTCCCTGTCTGTCCCTCCTTTAGCACACCATCAACCCTTGGCCTGTGTTACTGTTGTGTGCTAATCTGAGCTGAAGTTGTGCTGGGCTCAAACTTGAGGTAGACATAGTTCTAAAGACAGGAAGAAAAGCCTTCAAAAGAGGCAAGAGGCCTGGCCACAGGTGTGCGGAGAAGACCTGAAAAGTGGTTTTATAGACCTCAAAGGTCTATTAAAGATATCAGTTGCTACAGAGCAGTGGAGATATATAGACTGTTGTTTGTCCCTGCTAGTCCTACGTCATCCCACATACAGAGCCTCGCAGATAGTGCTGGCAAATCTGAAAGAAAGCATGAAGTCTCAATGGAGCTTGTGAAGAATTATTCATTGGTTAGTAAGACCACTCCTCTCTGAGGAGACTGTGCTTCATCCCATAGGCAGTCAAAGACCGTTGAAGGATTTTTCAGCAGGGGTGTGTCACAGCCTCCCTGGTGAAAGCATGTAGTTAGGAAAATCTGAAGATGGGTTGGACTCCTGCTTCAAACAAATAAAGCTAGCTTTGTGTCCTTGGGCTAGTCATTTCACTTCTCTGGATCACTAGTGTCAATGTCTGTAGGTTAGGTCTCTCAAGGTGGCTGTGAGGATGAAATGATAAAATGTAAATAAAGTGCAGAGTACAGTGCCTGGCACATTGGCACATAGTGAGTACTTGGTAAATACCAGTGCGGCTGTTATCACCACTCCTAGGTATCTACTTAGGAGACATGAAAACTTATATCCAGAGGCAGGAGTGGTGGTACACACCTGTAGTCCCAGCTACTCAGGAGGGTAAGGTGGTAGAATTGCTTGAGCCCTGGAGTTCTAGGCCAATCTGGACAACACAGTAAGACACCCCCCATCTCAAAAAAAACCACAAAGACTTGTATTCTATATAAACTTCATAACAGACAAAAAGGAAAAGTAGTAGTCCAAATGTCCTTCAGCCAGTAGATAAATAAAGTATAATTTATTAATAAAATGGAATATTGTTCAGCCATACTATAACATGAAGAATTTGAAAAACACGCTAAGAGAAAGAAGCCAGACACACACAAACAAACACATATTAAGAACTCCCATTTGTGTAAAATATGGCAAATCTATAGAGAAAGTAAACCATCAATTGTCAGAGCTAGAGGGAATGGGGTGTGTCTGGTCATGAGTATGGGGTTTCTTTTTAGGATCATGAAAATGTTCTGGAATTAGATAGTGATGATCATTGTGCAACCTTGTGAGTATTTAACACCACTGAGTTGTGTTGTTTTTTTGTTTGGTTTTTGATGTTGTTTGGGGCCTTTGGGCAGTACTGGGTACCACCTTCTCTTTATTTTGAGACAGGGTCTCACTAAGTTGCTGGCCTCAAACTTGCAATCCTCCCACCTCAGCCTTCCATGTTGCTGGGATTACAGGCTTGCACCACCATGACTGGCTCTCAATTGTGTATTTTTAAAGGTTAAGTTTATGGCATGTGAATTACATCAACACAAGTAATATTTTGTATTATATTCCTGATAGAAAATAGGATCATGTATGAAAATACTATTTTTTCTTATTGATAATAAAAGTTTCCTTTGCCTAGATTGTACCTCCTGCTCTGTCTCTTCCCCTGTCTCCTCCCACACCTGTGTAGAGGTGGGCCTTCTCTTCTGCAGCCCAGGCAGACAGCCACATGCAAATGCTTAATAAACATTTACTGTTGTTGTCAAGTTTATAGGGTCTTTTAGAAAGCAGAGACTTTCGGTAGGAAGAGGTTCATATCATGATATAAATGTTTCCACAGACTGGGATTTAGAAAGGCTGATTTTCACTGTCCAACAACAGTGGTCGGAAACCCACCCTGAGCCAAGCCCTGTGCTTGAACACATCCCAGACAACCCATTCTATCCTTAAGGCAGAGATTGGGTCTTAACCCTTCATTATTTCTAGACACTTTTCTAGCAAGAAATAAGTTCAAGGAATATTTATTGGAAATCTGTTATGTACAAAGCTCAGCTTGCTTAGGCTCCCATCTTCCTGCCTTGAGAGAAGGGTTTTGGGGGCAAGGACCGATCTGATTCTTCTGGGTTCCCTTGTGGTTTGCCAAATGGAATGGAACGGAATGGGTGGAGTTTGAAGAGGGGAGTGAGGTGCTCAGACCTGGGCTTCAGGAAGGAGACTATGACACTGCCTAAGGTCAAAGGAGCTCTTCCTCCCTAATTGCCAAGCCTTGCTCACAGTAGACCTTTAAACCATCTTAAGTGCTGCTGGCACTTAGAGAGAATGTAGATACAAGGCCCCCAGCTAACTTCTTCTTTTTGTCATGCTCAGAGTTCTTTGTCTCCATATCATAGGATCTAATGGTTGGGGAAGTGCCTGCCAGCACACACACATTCACCAGCTTTTAGAGTGGCAGAGCCAGGTTGCTGGTGATGCCCACAACCTTCCAAAGTGCTCAGGTGACCCTGGTGGCAAGAAATGCCCAGAGAAAAGAGTGTTAAAGGAGAAAGAGGAGCAGAGAGCAAGCAGAAGGGAGGGCCTTTTAGTTGCTACTAGGAATCTTCTCTGTTCTAGAAAGAAGTCCTTTCATACAGCATTGTGAATGAGTGTTCATTGGTGTAAGGATGTGTTGGAAAATGTAGACATTTTAGTGAATATATATGAATTTATATGTATCTGTGTTGGGTATGTGAATCTGTATTTGGTTGGTATATTTTGCTAGCATTTTCAGCTAGGTGTATTTGTATACGTACAACACATCTGCAAGTGAGTAGAACCTCTCTGTATAGGAAGTGTGTTTCTAAAGGCATGTGTATGCACATGTAGAAGCCTTGATACCCTGACCTCTGACAGAGAGGACTGAGAGTTCTCCGAGAACAGCTTGACATGTTTTTGCCATTATTCTACAATCTCAAAGGTTTCTACGGGCATTCCTCATGCTGAAATCAGGACCACAAATACCTATAAGCAAAGGCTAAGGTCCCACTGATCACTTACAGAGCCCCTGACTCTCTTCTTCTCCTGCCAGGAGCCAACCCCCTACAGAGGAATGAAATGGGACACACACCCTTGGATTATGCTCGAGAAGGGGAGGTGATGAAACTTCTGAGGACTTCTGAAACCAAGGTAAGTCTCAGAGAAAGGAGGTGGCCTGCTCGTGAGCACTACATGCATCATTCAGTCTTTCACTAAGTAGACTAGGTCAGGCTCCACACCAAAGGCCACTTTTCTTTAGGTGATTATTATGTTTAAATGCAAATCCAGCCCCTCTTCATATCAAGAGTAAGGAGCTGCCCTGGGAGGTCCTTGACCAGGGAGAGGGAGAGGCCTGGTCCACTTCTGGCTTCTGAGAACTAACTACTTTCAAATTAAATTTTGAGGTGATGTTCTTCCAGCTTCGTTTCAGAGGGGAGGACTAACCAGAAAAAGTCTTGCGCTTGAGGAGTGTTCTCCAGACCTCAAATACTCACAGCCTCATTTTACATATCTTTCCCATCATCTCACTTTCCAGTACCTCACCCTTCCCATCCACATACACACCAGAGCCTGGTACAGAATCTGAGCCAAAAAAATTCTCTATCTTAATTCAATCTTCTCACCCAAATTTTTGAACTCCCTGAGAATATGACTGTCTTCTCTTTCTCCCAGCCTCAAAGCTGTAGCTCAGGAATGACTAGACTAAATCCAAGAACTAGAATCACAGATCTCAGAACTGCCATGGTCCTGAGAAGTCATCAGGTCCAGTGATGGGAAATCTTAAAGAGCATAAGTATAAACATAGAAATCAGAGGGAAATTGAGCGTTCTGGTTGAAGGAGCCATGGCCCAGTGCTGCGCATGCAGCAGGCCCCTCCCTCCCGGGGAAGCCTCTGACAGGGCTCTACAGTGAGTGTGAGTTTTAAATCTCTGAAATTAAAATCAACTGACTTGTTTTACGCCTGGGGAAAGTGGAGCCCAGGATGTGATGTGGCTTGCCTTTGATCCCAGAGTGAGTTAGCATCAAAACTGAAACTAGTAGACTTGACCACAGGTCAGGTAGTAGGTTCAGTGACAGAGAGGGCTTGGAAGACCTGGTTTCTAGCTCTTTGTCTTGTGCTTTTCCCAGATCATAGGACCTCTTCTCTACACATTGACATAAGTGTCTTGCCATAATTCAGTGTGGCAGATAGACTGTCTTGAGTCAGAACACTCAGCTCACTAGACTGAGACAGAAGAGACTTGGTTTCTGACCCCAGCTCTACCACTCACTGTCTGCATGGCCTTGGGCTAACATTTTTTTATTATTATTATTTTGAGAAGAGTATCACTAATTGCTCAGGGCCTTGCTAAGTTGCTGGGGCTGGCTTTGAACTCCTCTCCATCCTCCTACCTCAGCCTCCCAAATCTCTGGGATTACAGACATGCACCACCCAGCTGAACAAAGATATAGTTTTACTTTATGCTGCATGTCCATTCTTATTGGGGGAAGATGGTGAGCTCTTCTCGTCATAGGCATCCAGGGATCCCAAATGGCAAAGCAGCCACCCCTGGAATGTTGCTGTTTGCTTCTAGAGGGAAAGGATACTTTAAAGTATCTTAAATGTGTAGTTAAATGCTCGGCCTGGATGTAGAACCCTTTACTTGTCCTCACAGCTCATTGGCCAGAATTAATTCCATGATCGTACCCAATCACAAGGGGCTTAGAAGAGTAATCATGCCATGAGCCTAGAAGGGGAAAGCTGGAAATTCTTGGTGAACAACATCAACCATATAGTTTGCCTTCCTGGTGTCCTTAGCAACTATTTTGTAATAATTTCCACCAGAAAAAGGAAGAAGTTTGGAAGAATGACTAGCTTTTCATAACCCACCCAAGGAGGTCCTTGGGACCAGAAAGAGCTGTAAAATTCCAGAGAGTAAGTGCATTCCTCCCTTGGTTTAGATTTTCCACTCTTAGGAGCAGCCTTGACAGCCAGGTCAGTTCCCCAAGTGCCTTCAGGAAATCCCTGACACCTTTATTTTATTTTATTTTATTTTTAAAGAATACAAGTTTATTTGGCTCACTATTCTGTAAGCTGGAAAGTTCAAGAATATGCCACTGGAATCCAGTCAGCATCTGGTGAGGGCTTTCTTGTTGCATCATAGCATGGTGGAAGGCAACACATGGTGAAACACAGGAAGCGTGCTGTAGCTCATGTTTATAACAAAGCCACTACAATGATAACCCATTAATTCATTAATCCAAGAATAGAATAATCCAGATCCTTCATTACCTGATATATGTAGGCCAAACATCCTGGTTCTCAATGCTGCTTCAATGGGAATTGAGTTTTAACATAGGTTTTAGAAGGAACAAACCTCATCCAAATCATAGCAACAATTTTCTTATACAAACACAGATCAACTGTTTATCTCAAAAATGATTATGTTTATCTGGCAGTTTCCTTTATTTTAATTGCCTTCTACTGGACATTGGGAAATACATGATCAGTAGATTATCCTCTTACAGGTAAGAGTCCCTGACACCTTTAGCTGTGGAGACTGCTCCCCTCCTCATCTCTCCGACTAAACCCAATGGCTGCCTGCCAGAGACAAGCACCGGACTTGGCCAAGAGTACCCACAGTTTGTCAGGTCGTATGAGTTAGGGCAGCTACTAATCTGGCCATATGAAGCAAGAGAACTGGCCTCTTGGTGCCATCACAGGTGAAGGGAACCAGGTTACTGAAAGACGCTTAAATTTTGACTGTTTAAAGGAAGTGGCTTGTTGTTGACCACATTATTACAAGGCTAATGTCCGGAGTGAATACATGATAGTTGTAGTCCCCCGTGTGAGTCAGACCTTTCTGGAGCAGCAAGGGCAATTATAGACAGCACGTTCTAGTAGATGCTAGAGGAGCTGTGCCGCGAAAAAAAGCTGAAGGCAACAGGGATATCTGGCCTGGGGGGTGGTGGGCCAGCATTTAGGCACAGGAATGGCTCAGGGTAAAGAGAATAGGTTGCACTCAGTGGTAAAGCTAGCCCAGAGTCAGGCTGATTAGGATGCCTCTGCTGGGAGGAGTTCCCTAGGAAGCTGACCCAAAGTGGAGGGGGCTGCTTGGAGGCTGGAAGAGCATGTAGAGCCAGCCAGGGATTCCAAGACCTCTCAGCTGGAAGCCCATTTCATCTGTTGTTACCTATATGTTCTTGATCCCTTCAGGCATTTGAGACTTTCTTCTTGCTGAATGTCCAGGTGTCCCCTGTGCATCTCCTTCTGGTTGTTCTGCTGTCCTCACTAGGTTTCTGTCCCTGTGAACTACCCCACCCCCCAGCTCGGTGTGTCAGCAGTGTTTTTCTTTCTCCCAGTTGCTCAGCATCTACTTGGTCTCCCATTTTTTCTGCTCAGATTTTTCCACCAAGCTGCAAAAACTTCCTCTTTAAGGCAGGCTGTTGTGGGAGGAACACTGTTTCAGACCTGGGTTCTATCTCCCTCTGCCAGTTAGTAAGAAGCAGCTGGCCCTCTGTAAGTTCAGGCCCTGCTTCTATAACATAGTGACTCAGCTTGAAGGCACTGAGGCCTCCTCTCCTGGCTTTGTCTAAACATGAGTTACTGCCGCTCTGATCTTATCAACTCCCCTTCTATCCTTCCTGCACCTCCCTGTTACCCAGCTCAGCCGCCTCCACATTCGCTTACCACTCTCTAGTCAAATTATGTTCATTGTAGAAAATTTGTGAGTATTTACGTCATGTCTCATTATAGAAGTTTTAGAAATAGAGAAAAGACAAGGAGAATTAAATAATGTAGTACGAATTTATGAATGACATCCATGTGCCAAGTTCTGGGCTAGATGAGAAGAAAACGGATAAGTAAACAACTACCAGAGTCCATAGTCTGTCGGGAGTCAAGCAAGTGAACTGTGACACCACTGATCATTAGTGATGTAACTGATCAAGGGAGGTTTCCTGGAAAAGATGGCAGTTGAGCCTAATCTCTAGTAAAAGCATTCTAGCCCTATGACCTACACATAACCACTATCAGTATTTTTATTTATAATAATAGTAGATTTATTAAGCATATGTAAGCACTGTGTCAGATGTTCTAATATACTCTTTCTAATTTTATAACAAATCCACAGAGTAGCTTTTATTACCCCTATATCACAGGTGGGAAAACTAACGCAGCAAGAAAGAAAGCAGATGACTTACAGAAAATCAAGATGTTACAAAAGTACATATTAGGATCTCACACAGAGATCTCATGTACTGTATTTTCTCTTTCTGGCCATATCCACATACCTGTAGGTAGATGGCCTTTTTGTTTAAACCTGCTGGTAGCCTGCTGTATATCAGAGGTCTCAAGCTGGCAAACATACCTTATTTTGCCAACCTAGAGTTTTCCAAAATTGTGAATTTAAAACCCTGAGAGTTGGGGGTGTGGACTCCGCGGCCACATTCCCTACCATGTTGTGCCATTGCTTGCCAGGCATTTGTGTTTTCTGCTTGGCCTTGAAAGCCTCTGAGTTACAATCCTATTCTATATTTGAAATTTGCCTCTTTTTTTTTAACTTAATAGTATCAGTGATTTTCCCATTTTAAAATTATCCTTAAGCCTCATTTTTAAAAATTCATTCTACTTCTTAAAATGTGTGTCACTTACACAAGAATCTCTGCACCTTACGTGCCCTGAATGGTTTTCCCCTCACTGCAGGTTTCCTCAGTTCTCTCAGCAGTCCCTGAGCGTAAGCCTCCCTAGTCCCCCTGAGAAGACCCACAGGTGTGAGAAGCCACCAGTGCTTTCAACTCTGATACCCACAGACTGATTGATGCTTAGGAAGGGTCCCCCCAGAGTGGGGTTCCAGGAAAGCGTGGCTCACCCGCCTCCTTGCAGAATGAGCAGGCCAAGCTTTGTAGGGGAGGTAGCCTGGTTCTCACATTGAATGATTTCAATAGATAGTTTACTACTTGGTGCCCCGACCATTTTCATGTCTTAACTAAGAGATGGAAGAGAGGTAGAAATATATCTCTGTGCAGATGATGGCAGATAAAACAAAAATATAGGAAGCTATCCCATGATGAATATTCAGCTAAGGGGGACGCACGCATGCCAGCCGCATCTTCTCTCCTGATCCTCACTCCACCGAGACTCACGAGGAATTTATTGCTCATTTTAATCA